TTAGCAAGGCCTGCTGTGATGGACAAGGGGAAATGGTTTCACATTAAAAGAGGGGAGATACAGACTGGATATAAGGAAAATGTTTTTTACCATAAGAATAGTGAGGCACTGGAACAGAGTTGCTCATCTTGGTGGATGCCCCATTCCTGGAGACTGTCAGGCTGGATGGGGCTCTAAGCAGCCTGATCTAGCTTATGAGTCCCTGCTCATTGCAGGGGAGTTGGGCTAGATAACTTTTGAGGGTCCCTTCCAAGTCAAAAGCTCCTGTGATGATTCTGTACTGAGAAAACAGACCATGAGGATGCAGTATAATATCAGCATTTGATAATACATTTCATTGCCATTTTCTTAGTTTGTACAAATATGTTATTAGTTCTTTAGACAGGAATGTGAAATTGATTATAGGAATCCATTTAGATAGCTTGATACAGCCCATGTTATCAACTGCTTGAAAAGGGTGATGAAACTAATTTGGATTGAGAAGGATTGATATCACTCATTTAATTTCCTGTTTGCTTCTGTCGTGAAAGGTTTGATTTTTCCCAAATCGTTTTGACATCTGAAAGTGTAGCTGCTCTCTGATGTCCTAATTATCCAATACTTGTCTGTAAGATGCTATTAGACACAGAGAGTTTATGTTCTTTATGAACATGCAACACTCCCAAAGAGTGTTTATCATGAATGTGTTCTGAAAAGAAACCAGTCAAATACTCATGTTTATGCACCTAAATATGTACGTAAAGAGCCTTCATACGGGATGTCTGGTGCTTTTTAGCACACCCATTTCTGTGTCTTAACTGAGAATGTCATCTTTCTGACTCAAAAGCAAGCTCATAATTCGTGGCCCTAAGGCCGAATGTTGCTGTGAGTGTTTGGCATGGTTTATAGGTGATCTTTTTCTTTTGGGTTGCTTCCCTCCAAAACTTCAATTTACCTGAGTTAGTCTTAGCTGTGTCCAATTCATTATTAATTAATCGACTTAAGTTCCAACGTCCTAGCCAACAAGGTGCAGAAATGTTGTTATCAGCTGAATAGAGCCATGCAGTCAACTGTTACTTTGGAAATCATACTGAGTCACTGGACAACAGTGATTCTATAATGGAAATTTTTCCTAAGGTTTCACATTGTTACTCTTTGAATGCATATTGTCATGGAAAACTATGACACACACTGTTCATTTCCTTATGAGTCTAGATGGAAGCTTTGAAGCTACTTCAGAAGTTTGTGAAAATCTGCAAGAGAGAGGTATTTATAAGGATACTTCTTAGTAGACTTACAAGAGCTTTAAAAACGGATGGAATCAAAGGTATTGAGATTGCAGCTATAGGCTGTAATAGGCATATTATCACAGATAACAAGATTTTGAGGGATTCTGAAAGAGGATGTCACTGAATCCTAGTATTATGTTAGCAGGCAGGGCATCTTGCCAAGACACTCAGTGCAAGAGTGTTATGTGTTAAGGAGCTGGAAATGGTAATGATGTCTTCAAGGAGACAAATGGACAAATATACAGACATCTGCAAAGTTGGAGCATAATAACTGAATCAGTGACTTGACTGTGATTAAGTACATGGTAGATGGAAGGGAAGAGGATTGTTAAGCTTTTTTTTTTTTTTATTGTCAGTTGAAAATGAGTCTGGAATGGATCTTTTAGTGAAGTGAGTAATGCTTCCAGTGAGAAACATACAGTTTGTTTCCTCAGAAATAGGAGCTCATCATTCTGTTGCAGTGTCAGTAAAGAGAGCACTGGGCTCTGAATCTGTGCTTATGTCACGGGTCTTTGATCTGTGTTTGATGGCTGGTGACAGATGGTAGAGTTTGAAAGCTCTCACTTGTTAGGGAGGAAAACTTCATGTTTAGAGCTTAGGAAAGCTAGAATGGGAAGAAACATAGGTGTGGGAGATAAATGTATCAAACTGCTGTCTGTCCAGAGACGGGGGAAAAACAAAAAGGAAAATGGAAGAGATAAGCAGTTCCCATTGACATAAACCAGCAAAATTCTGACAGACTACAAAAAGAGTAGGATTATTTCCATCTTCTTTAAGGTTTCTTGCTGGTTTGACCAGTAAGAAAACAAGTTCTGCAAATGTTTGTTCTATGGCTCCACCACTTTTGAATTAAAGAAAATTGTTCTATGTATGAATAGCTTTTCACAGTGCTCCTAAAATGAAATTTTGAGTACTCTACAGGAGGAAGAAAGAGAAGGGCAAAAGGTATCAGCATAGCCTATTGAGATCAGTTAGTCTTTGACAGCAAGCTGCTGTTGCCAGGTTTCACCTCAGGGCAATCATTTAAGAGTATGTAGGAAAACTTACAGGAATCTGAAGAGGCAATAGCCAAGTGAGATCACAGGGAGTGTTGGGTGGGCAGAATGTGATTGGTGGTTGGACTTGGCCAGGCATTCTGCTTAATGTTTCTTTATCTGATTCTGCCTTATGGGAAATAAAAGTATTTTCCACATCGTTAACATACATTATAAAAACAATCTGTAGAGAAAGAAACTATTCTAACATGGCAGTTGCCAATCTGCATTATTTTTATGAGCTTTGGCGTTGTGAATTAAGCAGGTCAGGGAACTGTATTCTTTCTGTTGCTTTCAGTGAGCTTGAATTTATCAGGAAAATAGAAGAAAAGTGAGTATTAAGCACACTGGCTACATGAAAAAGAGTCTTTTCCTGCAAACCGGTACAAATGAAAATGTTGTTTTAATCTTACTAACTAGCTTGGCAGCTCAGTCCTCCTGCAGTTTTTTCCAGGATGCCTGGCCTTCCTAAATACAAGCTTCAAAAATGCTGGGCATTGTACAGTTCAGATGTTCTCACTTTCTGTAATTACTACCACTAACTCCAGTTCTTTTTTTTTTTTATCAATAACTGTTACCTGTGTAATTCAGTTTTAGACAGAATTTCTCCTGCTCTTGGTGTTCTGGTCTTTGACACTTTTTTTTGTTGTTGTTCCTATTTAGATGTCCTACTGTAACAAAAAAGCTGTCTTTGTGTAATGCAGTATGATTAGCTAACAAATTTGTTTTAACTCACCAAAACGCCTGCTGCTTATTCTTAGTGATGTTTTCTTACAAAGTTTATTCTATTCATCATCTGCCACACTTTAAGAACTCATTAATTTCTAGGACTACTTTGTTTTCCTCTTTGCTGACCGCTTACTCTTTCTACAGCGGTATTTCCATGTCACTGAGTCATTTGAGTACGTACTGTTTCTGTTCCACTTGTGGGGAGACAACCTGTAATTCACTATGTCTTTTTACTGGTTGGAAACTTAACTTTTAGTACTTAAGATTGTCTAATTGTATTTGCATATATCTGGATAAGGTAGAAAAATAAGCTGGGAGGTGAACAGCCTGGCTTTATACCCTACTTTGGATAGTATCAACTTTCTGCTGAACACACAGAATTGTTCCGAATTCAGGTTACATTCTCAGCTTCCACAGGAAGAAAATACATTTTTAGCTATATTTTTATGGAGCAGTAGCTAGTGACTAGTTTAATTAATCAAGTGTCTATTCTGTGTGGTTATCTTGGGGATATATTCCATTAGTGACTACTTTTTCTATTTTAAGGTGATATCTAGGATGTAACTAAATACTGCCTGTAGAATTTAATGTGCTCTTTTCTGTAAGTTTTTGCTCTCCTGCTCTTCGCTTATTTTCTACTTATTCCTGCCCTCTCACATAGTGTTCTTTCTAAAATCCAGACTTAATATTGGCAGCAGTGAAAAATGTATGAAGTTTTTCATTTTAAAGGGTTTAATGTGGAATTTTAGAAGAAATTCAACAGCTAATGAAATTAAATCCATCTGACATACCACACAGCTAACCCTCAAGAGTTTATCTATGTAAGTGAATAAAAGTTTTGCCTAAATTTCTCAGCTCAAGTGTTGATGGTATTAGAGAATCTGGATTTGGAAAAGTGTTCCAGCAACGTACTGCTGCTCTGGCCTTTTCCAAGAGGAGCCAAGGTATGGGTGAGGCTGCAGTTTGACTAGATTTGAAATGAAATGGCTATTGGTATGTGGGGATAAGGGAGATTTAATTATAGCTTGGAAATTGTAGCTAAAAAAAGACCCTTATGAAACATAACTGTTTTATGTAAACCCTTCTTGTCAAGGCAGAGCATACATTCCTAACACAAAGCAATGCAAAAGTCAAGACTCTTTTATAACAATACTAATAATGGTTCCAGTAATGATACTTCACTAAAGTGCAGATGCTACACTTGAAAACTTAGCTGCTGGTTTATATTTCTTTCCCAACCTACAGTCAGATAGTTTGCAAAACAACTGAATGTCTGCATTTCCTGAAGTAGTTCCCAAAACAATCCATAATCTTTATTTAATTTTTTTTTTTACAAAAAGGTAATCATTTTGAAGAAATTGTAAGTTGCAAGAAGAATTTCATGTAAAGGCATGATCTTAGTCTCATATTCTGCTCTGTTTATGCAAAAGTGATTAATCAGTCCATTTTTGGCCATCCTAGTATGAATTCCTGGTGTACTTCAGATTACCTACAGTTCTCATTGAAATTAACAAATATTTAGTGATTCTGAACACTGGGTACCTTTTGTGGGTGTCCATCCGAAGATATAGGAGGCTGTTTCTCATAAGCTTAAAAATGCTAGAGATGATCCCTTAATAGTTGCATATTTGCGTTATTTTATTTGTTTCATATTACATGAATGCATCTAAATTCAACATTCTAGGTAAGAACCTCAATCTCTTGAATTTAATGTCAAAACTTCCTGGCTTCAGTAGTGCAGAACTGGGCTGCAGATGAATGAAGCAGACAGCTGATTATATTTATATTGTAGAGAAAATTTTTGTGGGCTCTCTGAAAGTTCCTTATCCGCTTTTGGATGTGGACTTCGTAAGAAAATGCTTGGAGCTGGTCTTTGGTAACTATTTGTTAGACAAATTACTAACCTAGCTGTGGTTGCTGGTTCATGCAGAGCTTTCTTTATTGTTTTTTCCCCTTATGTTTCTTTCAGCACTTCAAACAATATAAATGATTAAAAATCTTGACTAGATGGGGAAAAAAAGATGCTTATAGTACAGTACTTCCTCACTCTGAAGTTATTGATATGATGTAATATTTTTATGCTTGGGTAAGTATAGATTTTGAATAAAAGAATTTAATCAACATTGAATAAATGTTCCTCATAAGGGGAAAATTTCCCATTTCTATTTCATTAACGCTTCATGCTTCTAGCAGTTAACAAATTTAATTTCATTCCTTGTGTTCAAGGTCTGTGCTTTTCTCTCCTGTCTTCCTATCTGTCTGTCTTTTAAATGAGCTTTGTATTTTACGGCTGGGAAGAGATCAGTAAAAGAAAGCAAAAGGAAAAGTGCAAAGCATTTTTTCTTTACCTGAACTTTGTGTAATATACAGTGAACATGTATCTGCAACTGTGTAAAATATATATGTGATGTGATAAAATGGTATTTAAAATTATTTCTGAAGTTGAAAGACTAGAAGGCCTATTTTAAGAGATCAGTTATAGAAAAATAAATTGTTTAAAATAATTGAAGGTAGGTAGGATCAGCTGTGTTATAAAAAAATAATAATAGTAATAATAATCCTCATGTTTTCAGACAACTGTGCTCATTTAATTTAGCTTACTGAGGAATATAAGGATTTGGGAATTGGTATGTACCAAGCCTTTTTTGAGTTTATGTAGTGCAATAGGATTTGTATGAAGTGTTTAAATTTAGGGTACAAATAGGTGAAATGTGGCAAATGGTCAAAGTGAATAAAAGTATTTGTTCAAATTATCTTGTGCTAAAAACCTTCACTCAATCTCACCCTAGAATATCTTATAATGGTCTGAGTTAAAAAGAACCACAGTGATCATATAGTTTCAACCCCCCTGCTATGTGCAGGGTTACCAACCACCAGACCAGGCTGCTGGACTTCTGCTTTACAGAAGTCCAGAATAATGTCTAAGGCAAGCTATTCTTCTGTTTTCCCCCCATCTCTGCAGACTCAAAACTGATTTTTTTTCATGCAGAAACATGAAGTTTCAGTCTTTGCTAGTTCTTGGTGTTTAACTTATGAAACAGATGAAGTTTCTCAAAACTTCAAGTTATTTCATTGAGATCGTGCTATGGTCTTCAACTTCAGATCTTGCCTGTTTCTACCTGTATTCTTAATTATCATCTATCTGCATTTCTGCTATCTTATGCTGGTTTTCATTCATTGAATATTGTAAAATGCAAAATTTATTCATTTTTATAATGCAGGTAAATCAGGTTTAATAGCATTTTTTAGTAGTCTTGCTCTAAGGAAGGAGTTTCAAACAGTATTTTGAAAGTCTTAGAGCAGACCAATGTGTTATAATAATTGCACTTCAATAATCCCGAATGATAGCTCCAGGGAGCTATGACTATTGAATAATTTGTTCGTGTATACTTGTCCTTGATAGTAAAATTGGATTAAAAATAAGAATAGGAATAGAAAGAAAGAAAAGCTGAAAAACTGATTATCTTTGAAGGTCATTAGTGTTTTCAAAAAAGAAGATTAAAAAAAAAAATGAACATGAAAATCTCACTTAAAGGAATAGTGTTAGCTTTGTTTTGAATAATGAGATTTTTATTACTACAAGAAAAGGTCTCATAATAATAAAGTCTAATTGTTATTTTCATCTGAAACTGGAAAGAATTGATTGCTGGGAAAAAAAAAAAAGCTGAAGGAAATAGTGGGGGAAAAAAGCTTGAAGAGAATAATACGGATTGCATGGAACTATGAGTTGAAGGACATGCATGCTGTAATATAAAGAAGAGAGGATATGAAAGGGGGAGTAAACCAAAGCTACAGGATAATGTAAAGATCAGAAATATTCCCTGTTTGTTTGTATAAAAGTATATTTCAAGTGAAGGGAAGAAGTTGGTATATAAAAGGAAGCTTAGGGAACTAACTGGTGAGGGAAAGTGAAATTTGCAGTCAATCTAAATCCACCCCAAAACAGTATAGACTGAAATAGGGAAAAAATCTGTTCTGAAGAGTTTCAGAACCATTGGAAAACTGTCTTGAAGGATGCCTTAATGACCACGTTTTAAATGAGCTTGTTTCCTTTAAAAAATATATGCATCAGAAATATATATGAAGCATAGATTCATTGAGGTTGGAAGTGAACTTTTGATATCATCTCCTCTGTGCACCTACTAGAGTCAGCTAGAGCAGGTACCCCAGAAAAGTAACCTTTCAGATATTATGACAAGGAAGTATCTGCAAACTTACTTGGCAGTTTGTGTTCAGCCACCCTCACTGCTGAGAGGGAAAAAAGAAAAAGAAAGAAGAGTTTAACTCTCTCTTCTCCACTCGTTTCCTCCCTTCAGGTATTTAAATACATTGATGAGATCCACTCTGAGATGTCTTGTCCAGGCTGAGTTGACCCAGCACCCTTGGCGTTCCCTCATGGGAGAGGTGCTCCAGGCCTTTCATCGTTCTTATGGCCTTTCTTGTACTGGGGAGCTTGAAACTAGACACTGCATTCCAGATGTGACCTTACCAGAGTTGAGTTGAGACAAAGAATCACTTTCCTCAGACTGGTCCTTTTTCTAATGCAGATCTATGTTCTCACTGTTCTGCAAACTGGTCCTCCTTCACCAATGCTAAATCAACTTGTTGCAGACTTTCCCACTGATCTCAAGGGCTTTGGGATTTTTAAAAGCCACTCTTACCAGTAAAAAATGAGGCAAAGATGTTCAGTACCTCAGCCTTTTCTGTGTTTCCTTTGTCAGCAGCACTCTTGGTGATATTCAGGCTGTTGCTGCTCTTTCTGCTTGTGCCTCCCTCAGAATCTTAATGTGAAGACCGGCTGGCTCACTTAGAATCATAGAATGACCTGAATTTGAAGGAAGGAACACAAAGGGTCATCAGGTCTGACTCCTGGCTCCACACTGGACCATCCAAAATTCAAAATATTTGCTTCTCATCCTCTGCTAAAATAGTTATTTATTATTGCAGTAGCTGTTACAGTTTTGTTTAATTAGGAGAGCCAGGGACCCAGACACCATTTGTATTCCTACAGTGTAGGGCTGTGACTGTACCTGTTGGATGTTGCTCTAGATCTCTTAATTGTGGGTTAAGATGAGAGTATATGAGTTACAGGACCTTTTTCTGTAAATGCAGATAGTAATACAATGCATGAAATTTGAGTTACCTGTATTCTGAGGCAGCAGTCTTAGTATAATCTTACTATACCTCCCACTGGGACAAGTAGCCCCTAAATATTCCATACAAGTATGTCTCAGTTATGCTTTTTACCAGCGCAACTGTTTAAACATCCATTTTATTTTGAAATGGCTCTCATTTCAACCAGTTAGCCAGGGTGCTACTAAAATCCACATATGAGCTGTGCTTTGCTGTGATAAATAAGTACAACTTGCCTCAAAACCCATTTGCTTTTTGCTTGGATTCTTTTACAGAATTTGATGGGTGACCTACTTTTGTGGGGATGAAAAAGTATTTTCCTATTTCTTTGTGACATTATGGGTCTTGTAAACTGTTGCACAGTCATTTGGAGTAGATGGCATTATTAGGAGGGGTATTAATTATTTGCAAGCTGCTGATGCATCATCTCTGCATGATCTATATTTGTCTCTTGAATGTTCCTCATCTCTTGCTAATTGTAGGTGGTTTTGAGGGAACTGATTTCCACAGCTAAACAGGCTAGTGTAGCCTGCAGAATGGTCTTGAACTGTGCTAAAGAAAGCCATGAGACAGGTTACTTATATTCTTGGACTGGATGATCTTATAGATCATTTCCAACCTTGTGATTCTTGTGATTCTTGTGATATCAACCACCCCAGACTTTTTTGCCATTCTGGAGTGGTTACATGCTATTAATGCTGCTCGCTTACCTCAGAGGAATGAGCTTCCTGCATCCCCTCATCTTGACAGCGTGTAAATTCCTTTCCCCTCTGGTTCATTGCTTGTTGAACAAATTGTTTATTTTATTTGTGTTTTAAAAAGCCTAATTTTTTTAATTTCATTTTGCTGCCTCTTGCTATTTTTCCTCTATTTCCTCCATTACATTTTTTAAAAAACAGATCTAAGCTTTTCAGCAGATTTTGTAGTTGCTGTTGCATCAGTCACCTGAAACTGAGTAGGGAAAGAAGCTGTGGTTTTGGTTTTTTTTTTTCTGATTTTCAATTTTGCTTACCTTAAAAACAGTATCTCACTTTCCCTTTCTTTCTGTTCTCCTTTCTTCCCTGCAAGTGCTGGCCCCTAAAACTGGTAATGTGAGAGACCTCATCTGAGGCAGGATTAAGAGCCAGGAAATCCTGACTCTTCCCATGACTCACTGTGTGTGTCCTTGGGCAATCTGTTACTATTACAGACAAAAGCTGCACGCAGCACTTGCCAGAAAAATTAAAAGCACAGTATATGATCCAGGGAGATTATTTTCAAATTTTAATCAAAGCACTGCAAAAGTAGAAAAGAAAGAGAGGCTGTAAAAGATGATACCTGAGGAGTAGTTTGTTTGTGAGCAGTGTAAATTGTCTATGAAAGGAAGCAGCTATTACTAACTGTATTTTTGTTCTTCTTGAAGCCTTTGGTTCTGTTACAATGCAAATATCAGTTGTGGGATATGATGAACACACAGTCCTCTATTTAAGAGCTGTTGCAATCCTTTTTGAAATGAAGTAGGTAAATAAGAGTGAAAGTAGAGAAATGGTGCACAGACGTGTTGATGAACTTGTGCTCAGCTTCAGAAGTCCAACTTGAGACTTTTCTTGGGAAGTGGATTTCTTGTCTTTAATTAAAATACATGCAAATGCGTGATTTGCTTCTTTTTTTTGTTTGTTTGTTTGTTTTGTTTTTCTTCCTTAATTTTTTTTTGTAGTTTTTACCTCCTGAAAAGCATGGATTCCTCACCATTTAGAGCAAATAGCAGAGATCTTTGCAGAGAGCAAATGTCATTGCTTGGAGATCTGGGAAGGTAAATAGGATCATTTAACTATCATCCATAATGACTCAGATATAAAAATAACTTCCACAAGTAGCAGAATATGATATAATAGAGAAAGCTTCCTCCTTTATTGTTTATTGAACATATTTGGATAAAGCCTGAATGACTATAAAATCTGCATGCTGTTTCAG